GAATAGAACAGTGGACGTGGTACATTTCCATACGTTTCGCCGGCATCGTAGTCGGCATCGTCCGTGAGTATCGCTAGTCTTAACACCACGCAACAACTCGTCAAAGAGATAAGCGAAGCCCATCCTTCGACCAAACGCGTGCGAAACAATTGTGGTATCTTCCATTCTGCCCTGGGCTATTCAACTTTCCTATATCCTCCTATCAAACCGTCACTGTTACAATTTTTTGCTTCTCTTGCTTAAGTAAATCTTGTGTGATATGACCTTTTGAGCGGCTTTCATGAGAACCCTCGGCACTTCATGCTGGCGTTCTCACCCCCCTTCACCCTTGTGATGGGAATGTTGATCAGAGTCTGCCATATTGTGACGCCGTCTTCCTTCCCTAGGTCTTATCACAGTCTCTCTCTTACTCCGTAAGATCCGTCTGCACTTTCCCTGGTTAACATATTTCACTCGACCCCTGCCACCCCATCTGTGCCACTCGAGGCGTTATTAGCCCCCCCTCCTGCGTCTGGGTGACTTTTTCAAGGCTAAATCCTCTGAGTAAGTGTCATGGTCACTTCTTTCCCACATGGACCACGGCTCTTATAAAACCTACTGTCAGACAACTAGCTCCAATCGCCGCCGCGCCTATCCTATTTCTATCCCTAATTCAAAGTTTATGCCTTGCCGTACCCTAGTCTTTTGTGTGCCAACCCACAAACATTGTCGTCCAAACTTGACCCTAATCAAAGCAAGCAATACCACAAAATTTGTGGGTTGGCACACAAGAGATTAGGGCTTGGCAAGTCATAGACTTGGTATTAGGGATATAAACAGGATAGACGCGGCGGCGATTAGAGCTAGTTCGCTGACAGTAGGTTTTATAAGAGACGTGGTCCATGTGGCAAATGCGTGACCATGCTACTTAATCAGAGGATTTAACGTCGAAAAAGTCACCCAGAAGCAGGGGAGGGCGAATAACGCGTCGAGTGGCACAGATGGGGTGGCAGGGGTCGAGTGAACTATGTTAACCAGGGAAAGCGCAGACGGATCTTACGGATTAAGAGAGAGACTGTGATAAGACCTAGGGAAGGAAGACGGCGTCACAATATGGCAGACTCTGATCAAAATTCCAATCACAAGGGTGAAGGGGGGTGAGAACGCCAGCATGAAGTGCGGAGGGTTCTCATGAAGGCCGCTCAAAAGGTCATATCACACAAGATTTACTTAAGCAAGAGAAGCAAAAAATTGTAACAGTGACGGTTTAATAGGAGCATATATGAAATGTGAATAGCCCAGAGCATAAAAGGAGATACCACAACTGTTTAGCACACGTTTGATCAAAGAATCGGCTTCACTTGTCTCTTTGACGAGTTGTTACGTGGTGTTAAGACTAGCGATACTCACTGACGATGCCGACTACGATGCCGAAGAAACGTCTGGGAATGTACCACGTAAACGGTCCTACTAGGTGCGTTCCTCTAAGTCTTCCTACCAATATGACCAAGTTGCAAAAACAAGGTTAAACAACTTCTATACAAGGAAAGGAGGCTGCGACCACGCAAAAGGCCACACCATCTGCTTCCAGGATATCCTCTTTTCGCTGCAATATCTCCATTATGGCGCTTATTGCCTTCTTACCTGAGATGTTTGTGTACATGGGTTGTACATTGAATCTCATCAACAGCTCCAACCACACTAACCCAATGTTCTTGATCCTTTGTGAAAATTCATAAGAATTCTTGACGGTATTACTGGGGTCGGACCTGTTGATGAGTTTCGATGTACAATCCATGTACACAAATATCTCAGTTGAGAAGGCGATAAGCGCTTTAATGGAGATATTGGAGCGAGAAGAGGACATCTTGGAGGCAAAACGGATACGGAAAGAGTCGTTAACACGACTAATCAACCTGACAGTTATGACAACATATTTCACATTTAACGGCATTATCTATGAGCAATTATTTGGACTACCGATGGGATCACCACTCTCGCCTCCTCTGGCAAATGTATAAATGGACAAGTTGGAAAGGGAATTCGAGAAGTCACCACTACAACCAAGAGTGCTCATGCGATACTTGGATGACTACTTTGCACTTTGGTCACATGGTAAAGAAAATTTAAGAGACTTCTTCAATTTCCTTAACCAACTTGATGAAAGAATTAAGTTTACAATGAAGGTGGAGGACACTCCAGAGGGACACTCAAAAGGAAAGTATACAGAAAAAATTCGTATGCGGGAGTAATGCTTCATTTTCAGTCCCATCATAACTACGGACTGAAGATCGGAATACTGAGGAGTTTGATCATCAGAAGCCTACGACTAACAGATAAAGAGTTCTGGGACGAGGAGTTAGAC